AAAAAAATAACTGTAGTAAGAAAAACAAATGAAAAATGCGAACTAATGTAACGTCGTATGGTGAGTTTTTGTTCATATCGTGGAGCAAAAATATGTTCGAATTTCATGTCGTATCCTGAAAATTTCGTATGCTGGGGCGTTCGTAACCTGAGGTACCACTGTATTTTATGTTTATTATTATTTATAGATTTTCAGAAGACGCAAGTCCAATGAGTTACACATGCGCATTTCGGTTTCTGTTTAATTTGCATTGCATGCATTTTTTTTTAGTGTTCTTTTTTAATATTGGTTCAATTGAAGATGGCCGTTTAAAAACGGTAGAAAACGTTTTTATTAAACATTTTTATTGCTGGATAGTTAAAGGTTTATTTTATTTTATATTATTTATTCATTCCAGTATAAGTTCTTGTTTTTATTTTTACAAGAATTAATTAAAAATCAATTAGTGCCTAAATGACTGTGGGCACATGACAATGGGTTAAAGAAAACAACAAACTTAGATCAAACTTCTAACTTAAAAGGTAATTTTCATTTTTTAAATAAAACATAATATAAAATATTATTGTAAATTTTTATAAGATTTTAAAAAGCAAAGATGGTTGATATCTGATCATTCAATCTGGTTCTTATTCTAGTAATGAAAAGTCCTGCTACTGAAAATGCCTTTTCCCATTCAATTGATATGGGTGGAATCATCTTTAATGCATTTAAGTGAAGACAAATGTTATGTGGCTTTTCATCTGTAGCCTCAAAGATTTCTAGTTCATTTTCAAGATGCGTTGCAGTACTTCTTTTGTTCTCTAGTATTCTTGATTTGTCTATCTCGACTGCTTTAATAGCAGCATCAAGCTTATAGCCCGATAATTTGGCAGTTTGTTTGGCTTTAATAATCAGGTTTATGAAGAAACACTTCATACTTGCATACTTCATACTTGTTTGTATCCTTGCCCAATTTGCAAAATTTAGCATAATGCAGTTATTGAAGTTACTGGGGATGGTTAAAAATTAAGACAGCATCAATGCAATTATTCAAGGTATTACAGGTTCTGACAAGTAAAGAATTTTCAGAGTTTTGCCACAAATAGGCTAAATATCTGTGACATGTCATAACAAGCAAATATTTAAAAAACTAATAAACAGGCTTTAAATAAATAAATAAATAAATAAATACAAATGTATTCTGACAGTTTACGTTAATTATACTTTCTATTTGCAAAATTTCCTAAACCTTAACACAAAATAAACAAAAGTAAACTTTTAAGAAATTTTCAGGATTTCCTGGGATGAAAAGAATCCCAGGAAATCCTGAATCCCAATAATTCAGGATTTCCTGGAAACAGAATCCCAATAATTCCGGCTGTTTTTTAACCTGGGAAACCAGGTTAAAAAACATAATAAACATAAACATAAATAATTCAGGATTTCCTGGAAACAGAATCCCAATAATTCCGGCTGTTTTTTAACCTGGGAAACCAGGTTAAAAAACATAATAAACATAAACATAAAAAATTCAGGATTTCCTGGAAACAGAATCCCAATAATTCCGGCTGTTTTTTAACCTGGGAAACCAGGTTAAAGAACAGCTGGAATTATTGGGATTCTGTTAGAGAAACCCTACTATCAGCTCAGCCCGTAAGTAATGTCATTTTTCTTCCTTGCTGTGCATAGGTAGATGTCATTTCTGTGTATCAGCACACCTTTACAATTGACAAGTGTAGGGTGTTTCTCTAACAATGTAACCCATAGTCTTTACAACTGCTGACAGTAGATATAAACTGTGATTGTCTGGTTCGGTGGCAACAATTCAAAATGAATGATATACCACACATATTCCATCAAACACACATCATCACTTTCTCTAAGTGGAGATCTTATTTTGCCACTATACCCACCACACCACCTTTAGACACCCACTGGTGTTTGCATTTAACATTGTGGTATAATATACAGTAGACCCCCCTATAACACGGTAGATAATTCCGTGTTGTATGAGTCACTTAGATTTTACAAATACGTGATCCGTTTACAGCCCAGCACACGTATTTGTAAAATCTAAGTGACTCGTACAACACGGAATTATCTACCGTGTTATAGGGGCGGGTCTATTGTATATTTTTCATCTTCTGTCACCATTTTGTCCAAAAATGGCTCTCTTCTATAACAAGTCAACAGAGAACTGCAAGCATTCACATGTTTCTGCTCAGGTGTCAACTCATGGGGTATCCATTTTTCCAATTTGGACACACAACCAAAGTCCTGCAAATGCCAGTGAATGGTTGTAGGGAGTGCTGTGGCTAAATTGAATGGAGTGCTGTGGCTAATTCTTCAACCATTTGCAATGGATTCTTCTCAACAGATATTCACAGAAGGTCATTGTCTAGCTTAACAGATCTTCCTTCTCGTGGCATATCAGTAAGACTGGTGTTTCCCACCCGAATTTTTTAAAACCATCTTTGACATTTGAGAACATCAAGGGTTCCTTGCCCATATACAGCATCAATGTTTTGTGCCACTAAGGTTGCTGAATGTCCCTGATGTAACTCAAAGCATAATATGTCATATGTGTTCTTCAAACATTGCAAAGTTGACACATGTTTCAGTGGCAAACAAATTGCTGTGAACTAATCATGTTCTGCACACGTATACACAATGAACTGTGTTATCAGGTGCTAGTATCATAATCTTGGTGTAGTTCATAATTTGCCCATCATATGGTATTGATTACACAGACATTCAAACGACAACATTACTTATGGAATGACCTGATACCTTAAATAGAAATTTCTAAATTATAACATTTTTTCCAGTTCAGGCAATCCAGTAAATTGCTATAATTTACTGGATTTCAAATAAAGTTCTCCAAGCTTGTGACAAGGTATTGTTATTTTCATAATTAATAGCTGAGTTATTCCTACATGATTTATAAATTTCTAATTTTTTAAGTGTTTGATGTCAGAAAAATCAAACAATTCCCAAATTATATCAGGCTATATTACTACTACTGTTATTAATTATACAAGGTCTGTTCAAAAAGTATCGGACCTTATTTTTTTCCGCGTAAACCAATGATGCGAGAGAGGCATCCTTCGGTGGAGTTGTGGAGGGGACAGTCATGCACAGCCCTGAATTTTTTCCCGCCTGTAGAAAGCGTCAGTCGTTGGCAATCGGCGTATGAGTGAGGTCATGTAGTGCGCTCTCGTCGGATTTCACTAAGCTGGAAAATGACTGAACAACGTGAGCAGCGATATTACATCAAATTTTGCCAAAAACCTTGGCGATACCCGAGTGTAAACCATTCGCAAGATTCAGCAGGCTTTCGGGGACGATCCTCGAGGCCAAAAAAAGCGCGGCAGGTCCGCAGCAATATCAAAGGTCATGTTGACAGTTTTTTCGACTCTCGTGGGGTGGTGTGTCGTGAGTACGCACCACAAGGCCAAACCATCGCAAAGGAGTACTACCAGGAGGTCCTTCGTCGTCTTTCCGATACAGTGCGATGCAAACGATGGGATCTGTGGTCGATCAAAACTTGGCAGCTCCATCGTGATAACGCATCCGCCCATTCTGCGCATCTGATTCGGGCTTTCGTCGCCAAACACAATACTCCTGTGGTTCGTCACGCTCCGTACTCTCTCCACATGGCTCCGTGTGACCTTTGGCTATTTCTCAAGCTGAAAATGCCGCTAAAAGGAACCCAAATTTAGTCGAGAGAAGACATCATGCGAAATGCGACGGACCGGCTGATAACCATTCCAAAAGATGCGTTCCAGCAGTGTTTCCAGCAATGGCAGGAACGCTGGGAGAAGTGTATACATTACCAAGGAGACTACTTTGAAGGGGATTAGGGTTTTGTACCTCAAAGTCAATAAATTTATTTTTGCCGACCAAAGGTCCGATACTTTTTGAACAGACCTTGTATGCTAAGTAATTTGATACTAGAGGCAGGTGTTAAGTCCCATTTCTTGCTAAATTATAACATTTACATTGCATATGTTCAATTTTATGTAAAAACTATGTGCTGTGATATAAAATGGCATGTTTGGAATCTTAGTGTACTTTTTAAAAAATTGTAGCATGAATGCTCAACCTGAAGATGACATTTTGAAACATCAAAAGTACTGGTCTGTAATAAAAAACTTTGCAAGTAAACAACTTTAACAATGAAAGAACATTTAGAAAAATTCTTAACCTGTTTGGCATTGTTAAAGAGCATACTTTTTATATGCTATAGGCTACTAAACACCATATCCACATTTCAGTTTTAGACTAGCTTACAGTACGTTTGAGAGTCTACTTACATAAAAAGTTTCAGTTTAAACCAGAATTTTGAGCTAAAAATCTTGAGTTTGACTTATGTTAGCATACATGATTGTTTTAATTATTATGCATTTTCAGCAGTTGTATATCTACAACAAAATTTTCTTTTTTTTTTTTTATAATCAAATTTATAACTATAAATTTCATTTTTAAAATTAAATGACACATAATTACTTAATAAATTTTCAAACATTTAAGCAAACTATTTTAAGTTATTTTTTAATACTTACAATTACTATTCACTTACTTTTACTAATTCTTGTAGAGAGTCTACTCTTAAAAACTTGCTCTCAGTGATTAATTGTTCGGGATGACAATCATTTATACAGTTTTGAGCTGATTGTTTTGCTGCTTCATCTTCCGGAGTCGGTCCTCTTTGAACCTGATTATCTGCAGTTTGTGTGATATAAGAATAAAATGAACTCAAGAGACCAGATTCAGAACGTTGAATAGTATTAGTTTCTTCTTGAATTAATGAAATGATTCCATTTGGATTAACAAAATCTTCTGCCTAGGATGAATTATATTTTTAAGACAAAAATTATTATATACAAACAACAATCACATAGTAATAAATTACTTATATAAATATCATATTTTAAAAAAAATTTTTTTAAACAATTTAGCAAATAAAACTATATATAAGAAATATTATACTATTAAATGTTATGTTATTTTATTAACTCAAAATCATAAATTAGAAAAACAAAAAGCATTAAAATTTCACAATTTATTTTTGTTTAGTTAGAACAAAATGAATCATTTCTTCTCATCAAAAATTCATTTGTAAATGCTGAGTTTTACAAATTTGAAAATGAATAAATTAAGTAAAGACAGAATTTTTAAATTCTATTTCACTTAATTCTTTCATTTCTAATTTCCATTTTTACAATTTTTGTTTCATTTACTTAAAAACATTTATTTGAATTTTTATTATTAATTAAAAAACTTTATAAGAGATTTTTAATAAGAATTTTAAGTTTTTAGTTTTCTAATTCTATATTTTTATAGTCATTATTGCTGTGTTATGTATAGTACTAATTATAATCACTTACAAATTTGTTGAAAAACTGCAGGAAGAAATTGTTAAAAAAAATCAACAAATAATAACTCATAAACAATGTTCCCTCTAATTTTTTTTGTAGCTGAGCAGAACATGTACTTCCCTGAGCAAAAAATTTCTGCTGAGCAGATACATAGACAATCTTATTTTTTTCCTTTAAACACTAAAATAATTAATTATGAAGTAAAGATTAAAATGTATTTCATTATAAAAAACTTTTTATTAATGCAAATTATTTAGTTACATACTAATCACAAAGAAATATTTCAATTTTGATATTTTCACGCTTACTTTTTTTGAAATCCAGTATTTGTAGACTGATTGAAGATTCACTTCCTCTCCAGAGGAAAGATGCATTCAAATTCTCATTAAATCACATAAATGCTCCAATTCAAGTCTATTTCTGATTTTACACTTAATTGAATTCATAACACTAAATCTACATTCACAGTCAACACTAGATAATTAAAATGTTCCAATGATATCAATAAGAACTGCTAGTTCTTTAAACTCATCATCGTTACATACATAATTTAACATATCAGTAGATATCTTAACCACTCAGCAATGAGCGACGAATATATTCGTCAAGGGCGATTGTGTGGCAGTGGTGAGGGAGATATATATACGTCAAATTCTTCTGGGGGTATTGCCAAAAACTAGCCTAAAACTACTGCGAAAAAAAAAAAATTCACATAAAAAATGAATTATGTAACAATAAAAAAAGACTTTTCTTTACTAGACATAACTGTTTACAAAATCTTTTTCTGAAACAGTAATGAGAAAAAATGTGTGGAAAAATACTCTAAAAATTACACGCAGAAAAGGGAGTTGCCATGGGAAGCCCAGTCAGTGGTGGGTACTTTATGTGAGATGGTGTTAAGAACGCTAGAGAATGCATTCATGCCGAATTATGAAACGAAAATTCTAATGTACACACGGTATGTCGACGATGTGGTTATCTTATGGAAAGTCAAACCCAACTTACAACAATTCTTAAAGGACATTAATGACAACAAGTTTGGCCTCAAGATTGAAATTGAGCAAGAAAGTGATACGCTGATACACTTTCTGGATTTATTTATACAACTTGACAGCAAAGGGGATTTTCGCACTAAAGTCTATAGAAAGCCTATGTACAATCCAATATTTATCCCATGGAATTCGCACGACCCGCCAACATATAAAATACCTGCATTCCAGGCGCTCATTGCACGAGCTTACTCACACTGCAGCAGTACCCAAGACAGAAACGAAGAGCTGTGTTACATCAATAAACTAGCCAAGAGGTATGGGGTTAATATTAAAGCTATTACTAGCCAAATTAAGACACGTGGCAAAATGCGAAATTTACAAAATACAGAAGAGTTCACAATGATGGAATATAAGGCCTCGCTGAGCAGCATCTATAGGCGAATAGGAGCCGCTACGAACAAAAGAATAATTTACAAAAGGAATCCTACTATTTATCAATTGCTAAGGGCAGACAAAGATGCCGTGGACAAGAACGCGCTTCCAGGGGTCTACAGTATCCCTGTTACAGACACACAGAGGCAGAATATGATGTTCTACATCGGAGCTACCAGAAGATCCTTCAGAGAAAGGCTGTCAGAACACCAGAGAAACATAAGAAGCGGACAGCCATGCACAGCGCTGGCAACTTATGTCTTAGCTGACCCTCACGAGGTCAAAGCTGAATGGGACCAAGCTAGATTGATACAAATAGTTTGAGACAAAAAGCACCTCCGGTACGCTGAAGCCTGGCATATCTGCAAAACCAGCCAAAAAAAATTAGCTATCAACTTCCGAGATGCAAGCAAAGTATCGGCAGCCTGGCGATAAAGTATAATTATAAGCGGCAAGAACGATGGCAAAGCAGCAACTTACTTGAGGACTCTTAAACTAATGTATTTGCGCGTCACATTGTTTATGTTTGGTATGTTATGTATGTTTGTATTTTTATTTTTGTTATTTTATATCTTGAACGTCATACTTTTTGACATTCTAATAGCCACTGTGATAACATAATGACAGCCTTTATGTAGAGATGGCGCTCTTTNGATGCTTCTATGAATTCTGTTCAAGAAATCCATGACCATGTAGCAAAGTATGTAAAAATATCAGAATCTTGGTGCAGCAAAAATTATGCATTTGAATTCGTTTAGTGCATAAGTTTTGTGCTTAAAAATGAGATTATGGACACATTGAGAAAATCTACTTTTCATACATTAATAGTTGATTAAAGTACAGACATTTCTGTTCAAAAAATGTTAATATTATAATTTAATTTAAACCAAAAAATGAAATATTTTATAAAACAGTGTTTGGAAGTATTCTAAAATTAAGTTCATGTGACAATGTGGCTATAACTGAAGAAATAAAAAATTATATGTTAAGAATAATATTGATATGCAAAAAATGGTGATGTTTACGTCAAGTGGTATAAGTGTTATGCTTGGGAAAAAAATGGTGTAGCTGCAATTCTTTGACGGGACATAAAACATTTAACTGAGCAGCATTGTGTGGCACATAGAGAAGATCTAGGAATAGATGATGCATGTTGAAAGGTCTCAATAATGCAGGGCATTAAAAAATTATTTTTAAAAATTTTTTATAAATTTTATATTATTATTATTAAAATTAAAAAATTGCTTTGAACCATTGTATATATAGTTTAAAGCAATTTTTTAATGTCCTGCATTATTGAGACCTTTCAACATGCATCATCTATTCCTAGATCTTCTCTATGTGCCACACAATGCTGCTCAGTTAAATGTTTTATGTCCCGTCAAAGAATTGCAGCTACACCATTTTTTTCCCAAGCATAACACTTATACCACTTGACGTAAACATCACCATTTTTTGCATATCAATATTATTCTTAACATATAATTTTTTATTTCTTCAGTTATAGCCACATTGTCACATGAACTTAATTTTAGAATACTTCCAAACACTGTTTTATAAAATATTTCATTTTTTGGTTTAAATTAAATTATAATATTAACATTTTTTGAACAGAAATGTCTGTACTTTAATCAACTATTAATGTATGAAAAGTAGATTATCTCAATGTGTCCATAATCTCATTTTTAAGCACAAAACTTATGCACTAAACGAATTCAAATGCATAATTTTTGCTGCACCAAGATTCTGATATTTTTACATACTTTGCTACATGGTCATGGATTTCTTGAACAGAATTCATAGAAGCATCCATTTTAATTGCCAATAGCACATTATCAATTAGCACTTTTATCATTTCAGAATTAGACTTTATTCTCTGATTAAACTCCTTTTCTGCTTTTCGATCTTCAACAGTTTCACTTAAAATACGCTCTATTCCAAATTTGTTTTGATTATTTAATGTGGTAATAGCATCTAAAAGAATTTTCTGATTTAAATGTCGTTTTATATAATCCAACTTCCATTCTTCCCATTTTTTTCCATTAGTGAATTCACCACCAATTTTTGCTTTAGCACAAATGGTGCACACAACCTCACCAATATCATCACAATAATTAAAAATATTTCCAATTTTTGTCTTTTGTTTTTCTGATTGAAATGGTACATCAGTACTAGACCAGGAGAGTAAAAATAGTGTTAATTTCTTAGATTTAACAATTACATGCAAAGACGGTGAGATCAAAACGAATATTTACCGTAAACCGGTTTATCAACCAATCATCATACCTAAGAATTCCTCAGATCCGGAACATATCAAATTGGCAGCATTTCGATCATGGATTACAAGGGCTTACACACATTGTACCAGCATATATGACACTTATAAAGAATTGGAATATATACGGTGCATAGCTGAGCAACAAGGATACGGAAGAAAGGCAATCGATGCACTGATAACAAGGATGCAATAACAGAACCGGCAACAAAGAGCAACTGAACTAAGGGAAAGAATTGTAATTAATTACCATCCGTCTCTAAATAAAATTATTAAGAAAGTTGCCAGAAATAGGAATCTAAAAATAATTTATAGACGTAATCCTACAGTGTATAAGCTTCTAAGAAATGATAAGAAAAGATATGAACGTAATAGCATGACAGGTGTGTACTCGATACCTATGAAGGACCATAGATTTAACTCCAACTTAGTATATATAGGAGCAACTATGCGGAGCCTGAAGAAAAGGATTGATGAGCACAAATACTCAGTAAATAGGAGCGTTGATAGCACGGTCCTCGCAGCGTTTGCAAAGCAACAAGGAATTGAAGTATACTGGGATCAGGCCGCGATTATAAAACCTACAAGATCAATACAAGCGGTGAAACACCTGGAAAAAGTTGAAATACACAAAGCGCACACGACCGTGCAGTGCATCAGCTACAGAGATGCCGAAAGTTTATCAACAGCCTGGAAGTCCTTTTATGATAGCATAGATTAACTATTGCAACAGCATAGGCGGCATTATTATTTATTTTTATAATAT